CCTAAGCAGGCTCTGGATTGGAATCCCCAAGGAAAACGCAAACGTGGTCGACCCAGGCAAACTTGGCGGCGCACTGTAGCGGACGAGGCGAAGAAGATCGGCAAGACCTGGAGCGAGATCAAGCGAGAAGCTCAAGACCGAACGAGATGGAGGACTGTTGTGGACGCCCTCTGCCCCATCTAGGGGACATAGGACCATAAGTCAAGTAAGTCAGTTTAATAATGTGTAGTGATAATTGCATGTTTAATATTATAATTTGATGAATAAGCCAATTCTGTAATGTATTATTTATTTATTCGACTTAAGAGCGTTGTCACATTTTTCATGCAGAAATCGAGAATTTGGCAGATTTAGAAATGATTTTAGTCATATAATTTATTGTTATAGCTTCTTTTGACTTATATCATCGTAATTATCATACGTTTTTACGGAATGTCTATTGACAAAATCTCGTTCAAATTGGATTTTTGCCTACGAAAACAGCGAATTTNCTGGAAATATAGGTTTTTTGAATAGATTCAGTTCGTTCTTAAACATATTATTGATGCCGTTTGCTAGGTCTCATGAAGCACTTTTTCAGTAAGTAACCATTTGTTCGACATCTTGTATACCTACTATAAGAAATATTCGAGTGGGATCAATTATCGATTATTTTCGTCATCCTTATTTGTATTAAATTTAATTAAAATACACTAAGGCTGAGATGCACCACCTAACTTTGACCCTAACTGACAATAACCGGTGTTTTATGTTAGACAGATTTTTGACATCCAAAATTTTGATGTCAATGTTAAAGTAAGACGGTGCAACACGGCCTAACAAATGTATCGTAGACAGTACTTTTTATTTTCTTCATAAATCTTTCTTTTCTTTGTAAAGCTATCTACAAGCTTTTATTTTCTTTGACATCTGTGTAAAATCTTGCAACTTAAAATTTACTTACTTCCCGTTTTCCCATTGAGCTGAAATTTTGCATGTCTACACAGGCATGCAAAATTTCGTTTCATTTCGCACTAAATAAGTTAATTTACACGTGTTTTCATGCGATGGCCAAGTCAATATATTTATGTAAAACGTTAATGATTTCCTGGACTAGACTTGGTATTACATGGATCTCACTACTTTTTGCCGTAGAACAACTGAGTAGTGAGACTTGGTTTTTTGACAAGTATTGTTTTTGATGGGTTTGTATTACAGAACGCATGTGTACCTAATGGGATAACTGTTTAAAAAGACGATTAGATAAATTTTGCTCTATGGATAAAAATCTTAAAGTTACCTCTGATTTTTTAGCATTATAATTACGACCGTGGTTTATAATAATAAATTCTATAAAATCACAATGATATCAGTATTTACCTCTTTGATTTCCTGAATTGTTTAGATTTACAAAAACTAAATATTTATTATTAACTTTTAGATAATAATTTGAACACATTTATAGATAACGTTTAAAAAATGGCACGCTCGTTTTCAAACATTTCATTCTATTTTTTTAACCTATCCATATTTATGTGCGGAAACGTCACAAAATCAGAATAAATTTTGATTTTTTTCGCATCATAAAAACTAAAAAGTCAAAAGTAAAATTTAAGCAGTAAATATTTTTCACAAACAAGCTTTTAATGCTGTAAAAAGAATAAAATAAAGCATAAATTCTTTCAAACCCATCAACTTATTACTTTACTCAATTTAAAGATTAAAAACTTGTCGCGGGATTTGCTAGTGTAAAAAATACATTAATTACGTAACTTGATTTTGCTAAAAGTCTGATCTGAGAAAAAATCAAATAGGTAAATTATACATTATTTCTTTATTATTATGTATGATGTACTGTCTTAGGTACGATACAACTACGGATTAAGATCGTTTAGTCGACGCAGCGTTGAAATTGTACAGATAAATGCAGTTTGCGCACTCACTACGCGACGTCAAGCAATAAAAACCTAAAATTCGAACGCCAACTTTTTGCTACAACGCTCTTAAAATCAAGGTGTACAATATATTTGTGATATTGTTAATGTGTAACTAGTTTGAAAGCAATAACCAGAAAAGCTTATTAATTATTAAGGTGTAATTTATTCGTTGTAAACTCAATCATAATATTAATATGAATTAGCATCTGTGGCTATAATAATATAATCACAAGAATGCATTCTATGTATTTCATCCAAAGTCAATTTTAACTATAGTGCTCACACATTTCATATTGTTGCATTCCACAATAACAAATTTTTATATAGTTTTTGTTTGGAAGGATGTTGTGGGTAATTCTATATTTTTATATTGCTCAATGTGAGGTAGGTGTAAACCACGAACGATAGAAATAAATCAGTCTTGTTCTAGCCAGCTTGTTTCACTAACGCGCCCCGTCCCTGACACTTTAACAGACTCTTGACTACAAAAATAGGGGGCGCTAAAAATAATTTATTCTCAAAGTGGGCAGTAGACTAAATAAGTTTGGGAACCGCTGCTTTAGATGTAGCATATGACTTATAGCGCCAAGAAACTAGACACGAGACTCACTGGTGTACCACACGGCGCGTGTACAGTCGCGGAATGAAAAGGTTCGTCACCTTAGTGTCGGTTTTCGCTTGCACTAGGTACTGTGAGAGTCAAATCTGCCAACATCATAACAGTGCAAGAAACAGTGCTGCTAACATTTAAATAAATATGACGTTTGCTAACGAATAAGGTTTTGCTTGTTTATTTTTCTATCCCATCAGTGCAATGCAATGATGACATTGACCAATTGACAATAGTTTTTTTTTTATTTAAAAGAAATAATAATGGCAGTTTGAACCAACAAGGTTTTAGTTTATCAATCATAATAATCTTCTTGACAAGATAAATCGAAAAAAAAATTTGAACTTTACTGACGAACAGTTAAAGATTATTTTATCTAACTCGAGATTATTCTGTAACATAGTTTCAAAAGGTAACATGTGCTCGCGATTCGTTGAAGGAATCAATTTGAAAACTGACGAACCTTTTCATTCCGTGACTGTACTACGTGTATCAGATAAAAAGTGCTCACCTAAAAGCAGGGTGTATCATTTTGACGCCGCTGTCGTCCAGCTCTTGCGCCGTGAGCCCCGAGGCCAGAAGCGCCTCGTATCTGTCGTGGCGGAGCAGCCTCGTACCGTCGTGCAGTTGCAACTCTCTGTCGTGGACTAGTCTGGAAATTTAAAGAAATGGTTTTGGACTTTTTACAGACAGCGCCATCTAGCATGTTAAGTTGGTTTTAAGGACGACGAGATGGGGGAAAGGAGGATCTGAGGAATTTAATCCAACGTTAAATATATTAATACAGAAATTCAAACATTACATACATAGACATACGCCCGTATTCACAAACATTACTATGAGGTCTCACAGTGCGTGTGGGCGCACAAGGTGACACACGAACCAATCAAAAATCTCTATTCAACGCTGTTTGATTTGCTGCTTCACTTAAGCAAGCGTCGTTTGTGAATACGGGCGATAATCACTTTTGGATAAATAATATTATCACGCTCATAAAAAAAACTATCGAATCTTATGTAGTTGTAGAAGGTGCTATTTTGCATTGAAACATACCTAAGTACGATGACCATTAGAAATTCTGACATGCTACTGCAAAAGTAGTACTTATTTAAAACTTACCTATGTAACACGGCTAATGTACTAGCATGTATCCTATGCAATCCGTCCAACACCGCCATATGGCCCTTCAAAGCCGCGTCAACAAGAGCTGAATTCCTCCACACCGTGTCTCCGTTGTCCAGGGTAGTTCTCTGCTGCACCAGGTCTCGAGCCGTCATGTCCTGGTACAGAACTATGGGCTCTATTGTGTAGCCCAATAAGGATGCGATTTGTGTAACTAGCAGACTCTTGCCGCAGCCTTTTGGACCTGAAATAAATTAAAATTAAAGTATATTATTTTTAACGGACTTCAAAAAGGAGGAGGTTCTCAATACGGGTAGTATTTGTTTAGTTAATAATAAGTCCCGTTAGCCCCTAGTGGTAAGCTAATATCATGCTTGTATCACGCACTCGTCAGTTGAGTCCACCACAATAGTCCAGTAGCGGGGTCGAACCAGCGTTCCTCTGATCTTGAGTCGGTCAGTTTGATACCTTCGTTTCAGCCAAATGACGTCCACTGCTGGACAAAGGCCTCCCCCAAGGTTTTCCACAATGAGCAGTCCTGCGCTGCCCGCATCCAGTCTCTTCCCGCGACCTTTACCAGATCGTCGGTCCACCTAGTAGGAGGCCTGCCCGGCCCACGATACATTCACACAAATTAAAAGGTTTCGACACAAAATGTTTGATTGAGAACTCTTTTCTATAAATTAATCCTTCAAGCTCCGCGAATCTAGACACAATAAATAATCATCAATTGTTATGACATTAATTAATACCGTCTGGGACTCAATCAGTTAATAAATAAAAATCATAATCAATCTTACCCACAATACAAAAGTCTCCAACGCTATGACTCAGCAGCAATTCATTCAGCAACTCACTCTGATACGCTGTTTTCACCACACCTTTCTCTCTCAACCCTTTCTGACTTCTCCCACCACAAGGCACACCAAACTGGCTCTTAATCCCATTAACATCCATAGTCACTAAGGCCTCATTTCCCTTGTACTCGACACCTCGTAATACTGTGTCGCATTTAGGCTTGATATCCAGGTTCAAATTCTTTAGAACAGCTTCCACGTTCTTCGCATGGTCTCGAGTCAGGAAGGTATTGTATGGATATAGGAGGTACAGCAATTTGTGGACTGGAATGCTTGGATTTCTTTCCTGTAAAATAGAAGCAGTAAAGATTCTACGCAAAGTCGGCCATGCTAAAATTAAATACATATAAGCTTTAGCTTCTAATAATACAGGGAAATTATGAAGATATCGATTATTTTTTTAATTCGGCAACTAGGTACGCTGCATTATTGGTTTATACATAATTGCTATTCTAGCATGGATTCATAAAAGTTTAACTTTCTATAAGAGAATACAGCATAAAAATCGCTGATTACCTTTCTATTTGCCGATTTTATAAAATCCTATCACCCTATCATACATGGCGAGTGGCGACTTCAATATCTTTAAAGTGAATCCTTCGGCAAGAGAAATGGTTATTTTCAACTTTCACAAGAAGAATAATAGTACAGTGCAGTTCTTTATTTATATTCGCTATAAAAATCAAGTGTTGCTTGTAATTACCAGTATCCTTGCGGCGGCTTGCAAGCTGTCGATGGGGAAGTCTGGCAAGCTGACTTGCTGCAGTTCAGGGCTGATGAGCGCGTACGCAGCAGACAGGAGTTGCTCCAGCTTCACAGAATCTACGTGAGGACATTCCTCTTTGAGCACGCTGAGATGATCCTGCGAAAGATAAAGATAAGCTGTAGACGCCTGTATTCACAAACATTAGTATGAGGTCTCACAGTACACGTGGACGTACAGGGTGACATACGAACGGCACTCCTACGCCTAAACTATTGATTTCAAAAAAAGGTTATGTAGACATCAAAAATAGGAAATATTCTCTAGTTTTAGTTTTCCTAAGCATGTTTTAAAAAAATAATAATCCGAAAGGAATTATTTGAAAAAACTACTACCTACTACTAACTACTTTTGCTACTAGATAGCATTTTTCCAATATGGTGGCGACCGCAGCAACGATAGGAGGTCGCAAAGTTGAAATTCGTAAAGAGCACGTCGAAATCTATACATGTAGATTGTAGATACCAGTTTTCATTACTCCCGGAAAACTTCAAAGTAATCCTATTATTTTGTACCAAATGACTGGACTATGTATGTATTTCTAAATAAAGATAGCAAACTTTATCGATAAAAACCATTAGGGACCTACTTCAAAGTAAGTGCCTACTGCCTACCTCAAAATAAAACTAATGACACTGATATCAAGTACGATAAACAATGGCAAAACTTCATGTGCCCCAGAAATCAGTTCAAAACTAATCGAAGTTTCAATACAAAGATCTTATCGCCCGAAATTAGTTCGACAACTCGACATAAACTTAACGCAACGAATAATTTTAACTGTAAATTCGAATGCTATCGAATAACGCTAACGTTTTGGCGAATCGTGAGGAAACTCGTTTAAATTTAAACCGATTTAATCTAGGTAAATAACCCATGCCTTAGTTTTAGGGTTGACAAAAGCCGAGTTAACTTTTTTTTACACTTGACACTTGTGCATTCAGCAAGGAACGATAACTTTGCTTACTTAATACTTAGTTTTAACCATCAGTGGGCTGAGTGTGAGTAAAATTGAATGAAAATTTTAGTTTTTGAACGTTTCCCGTTAGGGGCTCTGTACAATTCGTCATAGAGTTAATGTCATTTTTTGACACGCTCAATAGTGAGCGCGTTTGATGTAAACTCACACTAGGCCCTCAGTAAAAAGTGACCCAATTGGTTAAATGACAAAGTTATATCCAAACACTTTAAATAGCTATAGGAACATATTATTATGATGTCACGTCAACAACTATCTATTTATTGTTAATTGCAATCTAAATTTGTTATCAGAGTTAATATAAATACCTATGTGATAAAATATCAACATTAACGAGATAAGAACGTTATAACAAGCCCTTCTTTGCGCTTATTATCTAAATAATGCCTACTTTATTGTCGTATTAAGATAACCAATCCTTTCACTAAGCTAGCTAAGCTAACTTTATTATAAAAAGTATGATATGATCTAAATTAGAGCCAAAATTATAACCTAAAGACCAGTTTAGGTATTATACAAAGGATGTCATTTGGGCGATTAAAATTTGTATAGGTTATTTTCAACGTATCTACTAAATACTCAAAGTCAAAGTCAAAATTTCTTTATTTGTTTAGACTAATAAATAGTTCTTACAAATCGTTATTTTGCTCTTAAGGAACCTCTACATGTCTCATAATCTTTTTACCCTACCAGCGCTTCGAGACCAACATTTGGCAAGTGCTGAGAAGAAGCGCCGCAACAAACTCAGTCACCATTGTCTGCCGGTTAATATAAATAAATAGAAATAGCAGTATTGATTGAAAAACATAATTTGACATTAAAAGTCTTAATCTTATACAGCTTTTTTCAAAATATTTAAATTGCCTACTGTTACTGTTAAAGCTAGAAACCATGTGTCACCCCTGATTATGAGTCGTATTTGCGCTACGCCAAATGAAATTTGTGTAAGCCCCACAGCAATAAACATTTACAAGCAAATGCCGCGTAATTAATTTCAAAATAATCCGCCCGAATTACAGCCTTGCTTCAGTTCGGTTTTATTATCGCCTAAGTTTAGTCGATTAATGTTCTGGAAAGTTAGGCCTGTATGAAATTACACAAAACTGTATTCAAACTCCCTTGGGTTATAGGTTTATGCTTTTGATTGCTTCAGCTTTAATAAATTAGACTAATGTACCTAATATAAAAGTTAAGAAGTATTTATTTCTGAAAATGTCTGATATTTCGGTCGATTTAGAGATTATTTATTACTCTTGTCTATGAGTATTTTTCTTATTATAACGTTACACAAATGCAAAAGATGAACGAATTAATCGATACTAACTAATCATTTTTGTATATTACAATGGGTACTTATTATTATTCTGTGATATTACTGCAACATTTCAAAACACCATTCGAATTTACAAATTTTCAGAGTAACTAAATTAAGGACAAACTTAACCTTTAACTATGGACGTGAAAAAATAATCACACTCCCATGGACGTCGGGTCTCACAGACCCCTATCTAACATTCTTCTTATTTTCATATCTGAATCAATTTGAATTTATTAAAGAGTTGATATATATCTAATAACTATTAATAAAGGATTTAGTAGTAAATGTTATCAAATTTTAACCATAATTTAATTATTTTTTTGCAAATTTATAAAACTTAGACATTTTTCAGTGTAAATTGACTTGCCATCACATATAGGCTCCTTGATTACAGTCGATCATTAATAAATGAAAGCAATATTTTTTTATTTGCTAATTAATAACCATGTAACATAAAAACATGAACAGAATTTCTGAAGGACATAAAATAAAAAAATTGACAAGGGTTGAAGTTACTAAAATTATACACAGTGGCCTAGAACACTAAAGACAAATTATTTCTACAGGCATGTGTTATCTTTCTTTGAGAGCTTTAGTAGGCAAAATGTACACCATTCAAAATCGGAATCTGCAGCAATGGTGAATTCTAAGACATCTAAACTCAAAAGCAGAATCGTCTACAAGTAATATCTTACTCCTGAAATGTTCTTTAGACAGTTGGGCTAATAATATAGCTGATGTACTCAGATACTTTCTGCCATTATGTATTCTTAAACTAGAATAATTTACTTATGATTATAATAATATAATATAAAAAATATAGTTGACAAGTCACATCCATACAAGTATGTTTGTATGGGAATTATAGTCATCGGGTCTCCCAGACCCGGACAAAATTTTGAATGGTCATTACTCACGTAATAAGTGCCGGAAGACGCGATTTTATGCCTCCTCGGTCCAGACACAGTTAAAACTGAAGCTACTGAGATGGTCGAGAGCAACACGTGCCGGTAAGGTGTTTAAACCAAGAAATCGGAAAAGGGGGTGGGCCTCTGAGACCCGACGTCCATAGTTAAAGGTTAAGTATCTTAGTATGATAATATCACAGGTATTATGAAAATGTTTTCACGTAAAGAGAAATAAACTTTTTGCTGGAGAGCGATTAATCACCTAATAGTTGTCGTTCCACCTCGTACTTCGACGCCTGTTCTCAATTTCAGCACGAACTAAGTCACAGCTCGAAAAGAAACGAAAGCGCATTTAGCGCAGTAAGGGAGGTGTAGCCAGATTGACACCTACCTGTCTATTAGCACTGTTGCATTAAATGCAGTAGTTGTTATAGCTAAGATGTAATATTTTCACAACTTTGAAAGAAAATAAAAGGTCGATGTGCTCCAAATTCACTCTAGGAATTTCAGGAGCAATAAAAGCATCACAATGGCTGCTGAAAGTAAATTAAATCAACTTGACCTTCATACAAAACTTGCCCAAAGATTGAAAAATGAAATGGCCTTTATTTCTTAGCTATGTAAGTTCGGTTCGCGAGATCATAAATCGCCGCGATCGCAATTGTTCGGCGCTCGGGACACGCGATCGTCGCATGCTCGCGCGCATTGATCTGGGAAGCGAGGTGCATTCGTATTTCTTTTATTTTATTAATTCTAATTTTAATGCAGAATTCAATGGCGGCGGTGCGAAATATGACGTGGAAATTGATACTAAAATTATGATAAGTAGAAACAAAAAGTATGAAACAAAGCATGGTTATGTATGTTACTCCAATGGATTCTCAAATTAATGTTTATCTAGTTACAAACACGAATGTATTTTATTTTCAACCGACTTCAAAAAAAGGAGGAGGTTCTCAATTCGACCCGTATGTTTTTTTTAATGGGCTTTTTTACTCGTACATACACAGCTATTTTACTAATCTTAAAAAGGAATTCTAGAGCAAAATGACTTTAGGTAGCCTGTAAGTGACTATGTTTTCGGTAACACAAACCCATATATTTATATCACATAATATATTACCTGAAATACTGTTATCTAGGCTCGGAATCCACGAAAGTGCCTATCTAACATATTGTTCGAGGACGTTACGTTGTTTGAAATATAGCTTTAGGCAAAATAAATACGCCTTTCATATAATGGAATAAGAAAACATGAAAACTGAGCAAGGTAAAATGTTCAGCAAAACTTTTTCTAGCCACTCTTATCATGATCACCGCAGAATAACAGCGTCATGTTCTGGGTTTTACTACTCCAGAGCATGACACATGCTGAGCGGTGACCAATTTTGGTGGTAACCACTTGTACTTGCTTTTATTATCTGTGTTATATTTTTAAGTTGGAACCAAATTAATGTATTTCTTTCTTTCTTTCTTTTTTATCATTCGTTATAAATTCTCAGAGTTATTTAATACCTACATATCATTCGCGAACGCCACCTACATATTGGCCAAACAAATCACTTGGCAAATAACTAGGGCTTGGTGGCTGTAGTTTACAAAAATTCGAAATACATAACAGCGTTAAAAATGCCTTTGATTAATGACACCTAACATTAAACAAATAGGGTAGACCTTTCGTAGACTGCTTAAGTTGGCACGCGATGGGCGACAAAAAGACAACACAACCTTTGCCGTTATAGTGTCTTTATTAGTTCGCCGAAAACTCTATTTGGAGTTTGGATTGCTCGTTTGTGGACAGTTGGCTTCGAAACGTATTACCTAAATATTTCAACCAAACAAGTAAATCTGTAGGTAAACTAAACTACTATATCCAAATAATCTTTATCTTCACTAATGTTATAAAGAGAAAAGATTTGATTATTGTTTTGTATTGAACTACCTATTATACAGTGTGAGTCACGATAAAGTGTACATATGAAAATAGATGAAACTAAACCTATTTTTATTTTTATAGACAAAAAAGAGGTCATTTTTTTTGAGATTTGCAAACGTTGTGATAGGGATAGAGACATGAGATCACCTGTTATGGGGGCATTATTTGGAGAAATTGATCAAATAACCAAAAAAACACGAATTAAAATGCAGATTTTTCTCAAAATGTATCATTTTTTATTATTTGTTGCCATTTTCTGAGTATTTTGTGTATTTTTTTAGTATCGCCTGTTATTTAGCATTATTACTGTTTTTATTTTATCAGGATTATACCTCTTAGTTTAAAAGTTATTACGTTTTCTTTACAATAAGTAATTGGAAGACAAAAAATTGTATAAAAAATAAAAAAAACAACATTTTTTTTACTTCTTTTTTGTCGAAAAAAATACGTCTAGTTTCAACTATTTTCATATGTGTACTTTATCGTGACTCACACTGTATTACATTTTTTTAATGATAAGTAAAAGTAAGTTTATGTTATTCTAAAAATAGATGACTTTTAATTGCATTATTATGCCTCTGCAAGTATTCGCAGTCTCATTTCGAATATTAAGATTTTATTAAAAAGTTTCAAATCGATTGAGGAAATGACTGTACCAACGAATTCTCCTGGAATAAAGTTAAAATAGTTTAAAATTTCAGTAGACAGGAGGCATTGACTTTTACAAACTTTAATTAATCCTAATCCCCAAATATCGTGTACAAAGTACGTAACAAGTTAATTTAACTTTGTCTTAATTAGACAAGTTCAGAGTTTTCGTTCAAATGTTTGTTTCGCGGTTTAATTAAGCTAGTCTCGCAATTATACGATTGTGTGTATTTACACAACTACTTTAATATCATAATGGCAAATCAACAACATTACTTACCTGCTATATCAAAAGTAGGTACCTACATGCTCGGAATTACAAAAAAGTTCCAAAATAGAGTTGAGGTGACGTATACTTAGTTGCTCTCTTCGTGGAAATATAGAAAAATACCGTTTCTCTGGTGTATTCTAGTCTATTCGATGTCTAAAAATGTAGAACCAAAAGCTAGAATCGGTCAACTTATTTTTCGTTCGAGAAAGTTTCCGAAAATGTTTGGCCTGATCGTCAGAAAATTGATTTCCTAATTGGGAATCCGCTATTTTTTCTATTTAGAGTATCTCTACAGTATTCTCCCCCCTAACGTAAAAAGTTAATGTGATGGTAAAGTTGATTCTACAATAAAATGGCCAACTTCGTAACTAATTTAAGTTTCAACGTGATTTCAACTTCAGCGACTATTTTTGGAACGGAATGTTGTCTGAAAGTTTAACCACATAACTTCCTTTCTTATACTTCCATAATAAGAACTGTCTGTCTGTCAGTAATTTTCAAACGCAGTCACGTTAACCTTTCCCAAGCATTTACCGCTACAATATAAATGTCATTTTACAGGTATTTTTTTACATTACATAACCAAAATTACGAAAATACGCCACCATAAACCGTTCCTTCTATCATTACACTAATAAATAATTTATGAACGTTACTTAATTCTCCCCAACGACCTTCAAACAAAAAGTTACACGAACATCAGTTGTTGCTTGTGTTAAAGTAAAACCTTTGGGAATATTAATTCATTACAGCTAATGAGTTGTCAGAGTTAATAGTCGGCAATTGTTTTCATGGCGCGCGCGCCGCTAACAGCCGGGTAGCATGCTATGGTATGAGGGGTGGGAGATTTATTATACGGAAAGGGTTAAAGGTTTTCAAGGCTTTTAAGGTCATAATAATTCGATTTACAAGAAATTATAGGTCACACAACAAAAATTGAGGCGAACACGTACAACGGTTTATGTGTAAGGCCTGTTCGAGGATTCTAGTTCGATCTCCGTCAACCGCTTATGTATTGCAATGAGGAGTTTGTACTATTCACGAGTATACCTACTCGTATTTAGTTGCAGCAATAATACTACCTACTCGTATAAATGTACCTGCTGCAGGTCTTCGTCAACCGCTGTCTTCGTCAACCGATGCCTTCGCCGAATTCTCGGCATATACTGGCCCGAGAAAATCTCCAACGACGAGCTATTGGAATGCTGCCACGAAACGATCGACCAGCAGATCAAGCGCCGCAAGTGGAATTGGATCGGCCACTCTCTCCGAAGGGATCCCGGTCACATCCCCAAGCAAACTCTGGATTGGAACTCCCAAGGAAAACGCAAACGTGGTCGCCCCAAGCAAACTTGGCGGCGCACTGTAGCAGACGAGGCGAAGAAAATCGGCAAGACTTGGAGTGAGATCAAACGCGAAGCTCAAGACCGAACGCGATGGAGGACGGTTGTGGACGCCCACTGCCCCATCTAGGGGACATAGGACCTTAAGTCAAGTATAAATGTAATTCTTTAAAGTGTAACGACGTTAACTTTTTATAAATCCAACTTACTTCTTTCATGTTCTACTTTAAGTGATACTAATACTGGTGTACACAAAATGCTGTGTTCATGAAATAGAACACGGCATATCAGTTGACGCGACTCGTTTGCATATACTTAAGCAACTATGTTCGGGCCTACAATATTTGCGGGCATAGCAACTGCTTCCTTTAGTTAAACCGCAAACTTTTTGCTAGGGTACGAACTTGTAAGCAGTTAAATAGATAACAACAGAAACAACAGTTTTTGAATAGACATACTACATTACTATTCAGTTTTGCGTATTCAATCAAGAAACAATAGGTAAACTATATTTAATCCTAATTAAAATAATAAAATACGATATACTCGTGAGTTCTAATTAGCATCCTAAAGCTTGATTCAATTAATATGATATTAATGATGAACAAATTGGATTGCATAATACTTTCATTTTCCAGAAGAAGTTTTTGTTAACGTCTCGTAAGAATATGCTTTCAAGTTGAGGAAGCTTCTTTTAGCAAAAATTTGAAATTCCCGGAAAGAAGTAAAAACCCAAAAGATTTTAGGATTTTTTTATGCATACAAAGGCAGGCACTTGACCACAATCGCACCTGGTATTAAGTAAAATGCAGTCTAGGATGGTACATATCTGCCCTGTAAGTGCCTATTCACTCTCGTCTGTGGCGTGACTCATGATAAGGACTTTCTGCGATAGATCGAAATCTAAACAGGAAAAGCAAGCCTACAATAAATATAAAAAACTACTTTGACCTAACACCGCTCACTAAAACCATTACCAAGCCTCGCGCACCTACTTATTAGAGGCCATAAACCATAGGGTTCGTGAGCCATAACCCATGGTACATTTCCTGTTCCCGCTGCATGGGACAATCGCTATGTTGTCGATATTAACATAAAATTGCTTTTTCCAATAAGTTTGTCTTGTTATTGGGATCGTATATGGGAATAACTAATCGGGGATATTATAACACAATACTTTATTTTTATTCACTACGCTATAGAAAATAGAAGGTGAATGCATTTAAAGTGAGAATTTGTTTCTTATTTTGTACATTTTAAACAATTTCTAGGACAAAAGCGCTTAAAATATTCTGGAAATAAATAAGTTTAATTTATTTTTTTTAAATAATGTATAGTTTGAACTTTTATCTTTGTTATGTGATATGACCGATGAAAATCTTTACTTGTGTTGATTGCCTCAACTCTCATTGAGCGACCTATAAATAATAAAATTGTCTTTATGGTCTTCATTATTTAATAAAAACTTTTGACAACTCCAGATAGTGCAAAAGGCTTTTTTCCATTAAAAACAACAACATTTGTCACTCATATCTGACACCTACTCTCAAAAGTTTCTCACCATGATGCACACATAAACCGCATTAAAATAAATAAAAAAAAGCTTTGCTCCGAACTTCGCCGGCATGTAACCGCTCCGTTACCGAAAGCTCGACAAAACCCGGCGATGTGGTGAGACATGCACCAGTCACACGCCGGTTTGTGCCCGGGACAGACGTAACCTACGCCGAATCATTTACATAATTCGTTTAGCTAGTTCCAAACAGTAAATAATGCTCATACTACGAAAGTTTCAAACTACGAAAAACGAATGATTGTTCGGACCGTTGGCTACGGCTTAGTGACTACGAGAGTTGGAAACTACGGATGTGCTACGGCTCGTAGCAATGAGTGAGTACTACGAATGTTATTTTCAAAACAATTGGTATTGTTTGGGATATAATTCGTTGTTTGTGTGTAATAGTTAATTGTTTTTGGGAAAGGTGATTTCGTTGTTTTAGTGCGCATTGTTTACATGTCACAATTGTATTCAATGCATACTGGTAGGTTATTGAAGAGTATTTGCATCTATAAACAAGGTCTTTTAGAAAGCTACATACAGTAACAGAAAGACTGATACTTTATGACCAACATCAAATAATTGAAAATTTGCTAGTAAAGATATTTTGACAATTTTAAAAGAAACAAAGTTTATTCGGTACTGTAACAGTTAATGAACCATATCAAATAACTTCTGTGAATTGCTTTTTGGTTAGGTATACTAAAAAAAATTAAAACTTTCAAAATTGAATGTAAGAAATACGATGACTTCGTTAACAAGAAGAAAAGCATTTTCTTTTGCTGCTCTTTTTAATAAAAAGGCAAGGAAAGTTTTTGGGTCCCCTTTCCATGTTAAAAGTACCTATACTAGTGAAACTTCGGACGGAAGTTTTTAATTTCACCCCTAAGCGATAAAAGGGTGTTGTAGCGTAGTGTAGCCACATACGTGTTTTAACTTTTAGATTAATAACACAATTTCAAATTTAATAAAATCATTGTTATGGTGCAGTGTTTAGAAACATGCATAAAATATTGTTACATATTAATCTGCTATTTGATATTTAAATTCATTACTTTAGAGAAGAGAGAAATATTATAGGAGCCATTTTTTGAATTTCTTACAAGTGAAATTAATGTTATTTGTGAAAAAATCTTTTAGCTTAGCTTAGTAAAGTTTTAACTGGGATAGAAGTCGAAACCAGATATATTTCTGTCACCATAACACTGAAATATCATCATCCATTCGTAAGCATGAGTAAGGTTTGAGCGTTATTTCGCAAACAAACTTAAGGTCATTCTCAAACGACACAGATTGAAGGAAAACATTGAGCGTAAAATACTTGAATATCGTTTTATAGTACAGAATTTATTAGTCACTATGTTAACAAAAATATTACAAGTTACGTGTCTAGTAACTGCATCTTGGACACCCTACTGGCCCATAACGTTGCATCACTCTATCCAACCTACACCAGTAATTAATCACAACCAACTAGGCGTTGATGGAACAATTGCGAGCAACAGGCACTAGTACAGTACTACGGAAGTATCAAAGAAAATTCACCTTACTCCTATAACAATAAGAGCGAATTAAGTCTTTAGCTTCCGACTGTATGCTGACTTCATGTTTTTCCAGTGCTTTGTAACTTCAACATTAATTCAATTTATGAATGAAACGTAGTTTGGAATCGCTTGGTAGTTGTAATGATGACTCAACATGTGAAAAGTAAGGGCAGAGTTATATGACATACAGGGACATTAAAAGAATGCAAACTGATATGGTAAAGATATAAATTGTATATTTATATTTTCCTCAATTAAGAACAGAAAATCAAAGAATCATTTAATGATCCCCAAAGTCAACAATCAGAAAGGCGACGTAGAGCATTAAAATACATTTGTGACCAATTATGATAACTAACACCTACTGGTTCAGTCGGGTAAATAAATAATAAATAAATATGACTAAAAAATTTATAATAAAACGTTTTATAAGAAATATTTAAAGATTACGAATGAAATAAAATAAATTGTATGTGTAGAATATAGTAAAATGTTATAGGTAAAATAAAAAGGCAAAATAGCAGCTCTAGTATTGAACAATCCATAACTAAAACTTAAGTCAAAAACGTTAACCTGATTCTCGCGCCCATAAAATAGGTATAAAATGTTCAGGAGTACACTTTCACGTCACTCCCTAGTTTTATATGTACAAAGTTTAGCATACAAAGCTTCGAAAATATGGCACGCCCCTGAATATAAAATGCTGATTTAGCGCCAAAATGGTAAATACGCAGCTAACACTAAGTAAAGAGTTATAAAATAGAAATAAAAAAGTTTCCGTTTGCTTTCAGGCACCACAATCGAGCGAAGAGCACGTAACATAAAGCACGAATCAATTATGAAGACAAAGCAAAGTTTAGCACGCATTAGCGGGGGTCGCGTGCCGACGTGCGTTAACGTGTAGCGCTCGAGAGGCGGGTAATATGCCGGCACTCTGGCAGTCTTCCCAGCGGCCTATGTACGTGCGAACGGTGTGGGTGGACGGCTTCAGGCACGCCATACTGTCGCAAGACGACCCTTACTTCGTCAAGCTCAGCGCCAAGAGGCGAAGACCCACATCCTCCGCTTCCACCAGCAACAAAATCCCGAAAAGGCACTCCAGACTCAGCAACCACGCGGACGACTTGGAAGGCTGCCTCAGGAAACTCAACCTTGTAATACGGAACGATAGGACGTTTATACCAAAAACAAGACCGAAGAGCTCTAAGGACTTTGAAATCGAAAAGCTGAACTTGACTGATGTGGACAACGAGTCCGAAGACGGATTTCTGATCAGAGCTACCCCGCAGCAACTCAACGATTACGAGACTTCTCGGTCTAATTTTGACATAAATATGAGGCACTTAAGAGTGAATAGGACGTCCAGATTAGAAGTAAAAGAGAACACCGAATTATCAGAACGTGTGCTGCAATGGTTGGATCTAGCTGGCAAAGTGGATTTGTTGGCGCCCGAAAATGCTGAACGGATGGCTCAACCGCGGCACAGTTGGCCAGAGATTCAGCGGCGGAACCACGGGTTATCGAAATCGAAGACAACAGTCGACGTTCGGGCGAAGGATAGTGGCAAAACGTATTCGCCAAAAGCCGGCGACAGTGCGAAACCACAACAAAGCGTTATCGATCGGCACGATTTTTATGTGCCGACGTCCACGAACACGATTGAGAACTACGCGAGACAGTCACGGAACGCGCGCGGCACGCCACAAGCCGAGACGAGCGGGAAAAAAGACGCCAACAAAACCAAGAGCAAGGATATACGAGCGAACGTCGCGGAAACGCGCCAGAAAGTCGTCTCAGAACGAACGGCCGTGGAGAAACAGTACGCCGATTTGATTAAACAGAAGCTAATACCCGGTTTAGGGATAGGATCAAAGAAGCAAGTCCACATATTCATGCCTGAGCTCCCGAAGAAGTTTAACTCCACCTCGACGAGTAGAACTGAGAGTCTTCTATCGTCGCTAAAATCTTAGTTCCGAATAAAAGCTTTATAAATCAACAAAGTTGAGTTCATTGAGTAGTTTCGGGCAATTTATTAACGAACTTTACCGAGCTCGGTCCTTCCGATTTCATTGAGCCGACGGATCGGATTTATGCTGGCGTGCACGCAAAGCTGCGCCGTCTGATTATTCAAATTACCGTTGCATAGTACACAAATACTACTATTGAAATTAATTTTATTAATACGCCTTGCAAGCCACTAAACAGATTGCTGTCACTGCAGTGAACACAAGATTACATTTTGCTCTAGGAATTTGGAACTTGCGCGTATTTAAGTTATAGGAACTTTCCAATGAGGTCAATCATAACATTAATGTGCCATAATATCTTTGGGGTCAAGGTTTTGCTCATACCAGCACATTCTCGATTGAAACATGGATTAATTTAGATTAATCCATGCCTTGCACGATACGAATGTCACACGAGCGATATTAGTGTAGACTCATCCCAATGACATCACTATTTCGGGTACAGTTTACATTTTTGTTACAAAATAGCACCTATTACAACTCCATAAGACTCCAACTCACCCCGAAGCCGATGGTGGCGACATCTCTGGCCTGAAAGCGCGAGCGCAGCGGCCGACATCTTATCACGGCACATCAGACTGTAATTTTGTTGCAAAATAGCACCTATCACAGTTCTATAAGATGTCATTTCAATCCATCTCACCCCAAAACCGATGGTGGCGACATCTCTGGCCTGGAAGCGGGACCGCAGCGGCGGGTCGAGCGGCTGCCTGCTGTATCTAGCAGCTGACTTCACTGCTTTGTGTACATTATACATATTTGTTCCAAAACAGCCCCTATTACAACTCCATAAGACTCCAACTCACCCCGAAGCCGATGGTAGCGACATCTCTGACCTGGAAGCGGGAGCGCAGCGGCGGGTCGAGCGGCTGCCCGCTGCGCGTAGTAGCGAACAGTTACATTTGCGTTGCAAAATAGCTCCTATAGCAACTACATAAGACTCACCCCAAACCCGATGGTGGCGACATCTCTGACCTGGAAGCGGGAGCGCAGCGGCGGGTCGAGCGGCTGCCCGCTGCGCGCTGTAGCGAACAGTTACATTTGCGTTGCAAAATAGCTCCTATAGCAACTACATAAGACTCACCCCAAACCCGATGGTAGCGACATCTCTGGCCTGGAAGCGGGACCGCAGCGGCGGGTCGAGCGGCTGCCCGCTGTAGCGCGGCACGGGCAAGCCTAGCGCGATCACGCGGAAGTTCTCGTCGACGCGTACCAGCCGCCATTTTGACACTTCTTCCGCGCCATGTTCCTAAAAGCCGTATTACAAATGTTACCACTTGCTATCAGCAAAAAATATACAGTGGAAACCTCAGAAGGGGGTGAAACTACATCATAAATAATCGACAAAAAATATAGTTTTTTTTATTAAAAAAATGATTACAATTTTTTATTGGTATATTATAGCCTGACCAGGAACATAAAAACCCTGGCATAGAGGCGCTTCAATTGCATTTGATAGTGCAACACTGAGTACAGTCGTACCTGTGTTAAATTAATAGGCTAACTTTATGTTTCAGGATTCAGGATTACGGGCTAATTTGATATTTTCATAAATTAACGAAAAAATATTATTATAGGTAACTTAGGTATGGTTTCATTTAAGTATTAAATAAATTAAATGAAACCATCAATCGAACTAGTAGGATTTATTTTATTATTCATCAATAATCAAATTCAGAACTTGAATATTCAACTGCAATGTCTGCTCATGAACGCTTCAAACTCGGTACTTCTTTCCCAATTCCATAAAATTCAACTTTTAGAAAGTGACAAAAAACTTTAAAATAGGTAGTTGAAACAAACCACAGCTAATTTTCATAGTGGACTGTACTATACGATAAACATGTCAGTCAATTTGACAACCTTTGGTAAATAGGTTTTCGTCTGTGGTGTCTTTTAGGCATAAATCTAATTTCTTTGGCCCTAATTTCCTTGTTTTCCGTGGCATAAAATGGCCTAGGAAATTATAAAAGACCATTTTTAATTCGGCGTAAAGTCAAATTTTGAGTATTTCTTTATTGGAATAAGTTTAAAATTTACCATTTAAGAAATGGGTATCAGAATAGATATAGAACAATTTGTTTTTAACTCTTAACTCAATCTACTGAATTTATCTTCCTTAGTTGTGTCAAAAGCTCGTAATGATACAATATTCATTGGTATGTTTGCTTGCGAAGGTACACAGAAATGGGTCAAACAAAAAAAAAGCAATCCACAGAAGAAAACTTAGAGAAAAAAATATTTATAATAATTTCCTTGGCTACCAAAAATTCATGACCTTATAACTTTGTTTCTAAAACGAATTATGACACCCCTTTTAGATATATTAGCTTAGTTTTTGCTACTTAATACAATGGGAAACTAAAAATAGTCAAAAACAAAAATATGTTTCGTACCAAGGAAATTAGGCAAAATTGACCATTTTTGGCGAAATACCCTTATGTTCCTGGTCAGGCTATAAAATCTTTATCTTCCAACATAAACAACCAGTCAACAGCCATTCGTTAATGTACAATGACGAATCATTGGCGTATCTTCTATGATCATACATATCGATATTGTTTAGCCGTCATAGCTCTAAAAATGCACACAAAATGCAGCTGTAAGTATGGAAAAGCTTACCTCTAAAAGCTTGTCATATCTAGCAGCCGGCACCAGGAACCTGCCATCTTCCAGGTGCATCTCCCGATTCTCCAGAAGGTTATTGAGGACAGGCAGCACGTTTCGCTCCGCCTTCTCGATGCCTTCGATGACCAGCACCCGACCCTCGACGGCTGCGCGGACGGCGCTCTGGATTGAATAAAGTCTACTAGATATGGTCTAAGATGATGGTGAATCTACATTTGACTATGTGTAAGTTCTAAATTAATTAGTCTAATAGGCAAACTAAAGCCCCTGACTGTGTGCCATCTACAAGAATTGCTAATGATTTCAAACTCACGATTTCAGGAACACTTTTATTGTACCTGAATCTTCTCTGCTCAATGCCATTGCACATTCACAGCCACATTTGTTAATTTATTCATATGACAAACAAGAGGCTATGAAATTTAGAACATGAAGTAGAGTCGCTTTATTTTGATTGGTTTGGCTTGGTTATTTTTCTATGACAACAAGGTAGGATACGTCACACGTTCACGTCTATAAATAATAATATCATCACATTAGTGCAGGCTAAATTAAAAAAGGACAAAATAATACCTGGTCAAAGTACTTGGCGGTGGAGCTTTGGATCTCTCTTCTCTGCTTCAGGTCGGCCTCTGTGGTGTCTCGTGAGAGAGCCACATACTCGAGCTCTCTTTGAGTCAGTTCCAAGTATTGGAGTGCTATTTTCCTCCTTTATAAAGAAAAAAGTTTATGTAAAGTTATGGTGACTGAGTAACAACATCTATAAATACATACATAAGCATAAATATGAAAATGTACTTTTGTATTTATGCACATGATGTACCTATAGTGTTGTTATTTTGAGTTGAAATGTTTTTTAAGTATTTACTAAAACATGTGAATCCTTAGTGAGACTTGACTTAAATTAGACTTTTTAGAAGTATAATAATGTAAGAATTAATAAATACTAGATTAGTCTGGGAAGGACAAAGGTTTGATGAGTCTTTTATAGCCTTCAAAGGTAGATTCAATAATCTCCATATTTTTTTAAAAAATACTAAATGCACATTTAAATAGGACTGTAAATACTGGTAAAGACTATGAGATATCTACTTGTTTCGTACCGAAATATATTTATTAGTTTCTTAATTTTAGTTTAAGATAAAACAACACAAACTGGAAGGAATTTGCTCTTTTTCTTAATTGCATTTTTTAATCACAAACTGGCAACATTCTTTCCAATCCTATGGAGCTAGGCTCGCGATTGCGATTGCGACGCCCCCCAGTGACGCAAGATTTTTGAGTTCGGAAGGACGCCCGTGCGCATCAGCGGTGTGTTCTTTAATTCGGCAACCATATAAGCGTTTGTCAATTTCCAAAATCAAGTGAATCTAATGAGTGCGGGATCCAGCCCCTATGGAACTATGGTCTTTCTCATCAATATGTGCTAATACTTCACAAGCAAACTGCATTTCGGAGATACGCCGGGCCCGGCTGAGCACGCGGCTGGCACTGTGGAAAAGAGGTTTGTTCGCCGTTTGTTTTAAAAATTTAGTATAGCTAACATATTATTTGTTGGTCCTTCGAGCCGGATTTTCATTTTCCTTCCAATTGTGTAGTTTTATCGTAATTTTTAGCGTACATACGTACCACATTTTTCATTCCACGTGCGACCATCTTTGTAACGCAAAATGGCGCAATCGAAAGTGGAAAATGATTCCAAGACCTCATTAGATTCCAATAGCGAGAGTAGTAGTTCATGTGTTCAGGATATTTTCGAGCGAGATTTAATTTTAGACGATTTAAAGAGAACATTACAGTTTGCAACTACAGATATTCAAAAATTCATTTCACGTACCAAAGATTTGTCAGCTCTTCAAAGAAAGTTTAGCAAATTGCAAACTAAAGTCGAAAAGTCTCTCATTAAATCTAAATCATTCAATAAAGAGGAACAAATCAAAATTAGAAACGACTTCGACGATTCGTATTATGCAATTGTCACTCAAGTAGATAAATTAAAACAATGTCAGGAGCAAAGCAGACGAATGAGTCGTCCCTTTGCTAATTCAGAATTTTCTAGTAATGCTAAATTACCTACTTTGCCTTTGCCCAGTTTCTCTGGCGAAAGCACAGAATGGAATTCATATTTCGATTTGTTTTGTTCTCTCGTTCACCACAATACTGCCTACACGGATGCGGAAAAGTTTAGGTATTTGCTTCTTACGTTAAAAAATGAACCATTCAACCTTATAAAGTCCATTCCAATCACTGATGCTAATTATTTCGTAGCAATACAAATATTAACTTCACGTTATGAAAACAAAAGAATCATAGCTTCGAATCATCTTGATAAAATACTCAACATTCCATCTTGTAACGTAAAATCAACGAGTGATTTACGTAACTTATTAAATACTCTCCCTTTGACTCCATCACATTTTTTAATAGGTGAGCCCTTAACGTCAATTCCTGACATTTCTTTAGTGGATGAGAATCCTAGCCGCTTAGTAAGATGGCGTCTCATCCAACAGTCCACTCAACATTTTTGGAAGAGATGGAGTCTTGAGTATTTACATCATATTCAACAAGCAACCAAGTGGTTTAGTAATCGCGGTGCCCCGATACGTGAGGGCATGATTGTGGTGTTACGCGAAGACAACGTTCCTCCCTTGCAGTGGAGACTTGCGCGTGTTCACGCCTTACACCCAGGTCCTGACGGGATCTGTCGGGTCGTTACTTTACAAATTGGACAGTCGTTCTTCAAACGAGCTGTTGTTAAGATTTGTCCTCTTCCTGTTGAGTAGGGAGTAGGTACGTTTTGCATCTAAGTAAAGCTAGAGTAGTTTTAGGTTTATAGTTAGGTTTCACTCTACAAATAGCTTAGATACTTGTAAGTTTCTTATCGTAGGTTTTGTCTTGTTAAAAGATACTCGGTACTTTTAAGGTGAGCGGTATGTTTCGTACCGAAATATATTTATTAGTTTCTTAATTTTAGTTTAAGATAAAACAACACAAACTGGAAGGAATTTGCTCTTTTTCTTAATTGCATTTTTTAATCACAAACTGGCAACATTCTTTCCAATCCTATGGAGCTAGGCTCGCGATTGCGATTGCGACGCCCCCCAGTGACGCAAGATTTTTGAGTTCGGAAGGACGCCCGTGCGCATCAGCGGTGTGTTCTTTAATTCGGCAACCATATAAGCGTTTGTCAATTTCCAAAATCAAGTGAATCTAATGAGTGCGGGATCCAGCCCCTATGGAACTATGGTCTTTCTCATCAATATGTGCTAATACTTCACAAGCAAACTGCATTTCGGAGATACGCCGGGCCCGGCTGAGCACGCGGCTGGCACTGTGGAAAAGAGGTTTGTTCGCCGTTTGTTTTAAAAATTTAGTATAGCTAACACTACTTCATTATTGACTATTTTCATTGAAAATATACAAAACAGTTGAAAAATGTTTGCAGTATTTTAACATACCTTGTTGGGCCAGGCCTGCCAAGTAGGAACATATCCTGCCCAAGAGAGTCTTTCTGCATCATCCATCTTAAGTTCCGGAGTGTATTTTGAGATAGGAGTTTGATTTCGGAACTCTCTATTGTCACTGTGAGAAATAAAGTTCATTTTAATGTATTTTCAGAAAAATAGTACTCAAGATAGGGCTTTCTCATAAGGATTTGTCACACTAGATGCTTATGGATACTGTTTTAATAAATGATCCCATTTTTCCAAAGTTTATTATGAGTTAACCAAACTTTGGAGGTTAGAAAACAACAGGATACTTACAGTATTTTCTAGGCACATATTCGATCTTTTTAGGCACTTTGATATCCTTAGTTACATCTCCTATAGTCACTTTATCTTCGCTAGAATACGCTCGGACAGGATTCGCACTTAAGATTGCTTTTCGATGGCTCATAATCCGTATCAAAACATCGAGACGACGAACTGTTACTGCCGGATTGAACATGGCTTTCTTCACTTAAAACTATGTGTTTCACATGAATTCAATGCAAATTTACGAATTTTGCGTCATCGCAAAACCATGTAATGTTTAATTGGCTAAAAAAACGATAATATCCGCAAGTCCAAAGTCGAAACCCGAGTTCCGAAGCAATTAACTATCTGTCAAATTTGACGTTTCTATCAGCTGATTAACAACACGTTCATGAAGTTGTTTATTTTACAATAACCATGCGTTCAATTCTATCCGTTCTATCCTATCTCCTAGTGATGGTCAACTCGAGTAAGTAACTCGAGTTAACTCGAGTTGGGCGTAACTCGAACCCACTCGAGTTGAATTCTCTCTGACTCGAGTTCGTATCGTAAACCGAATGGAACCGACATGGACCGAAGATTGCCGATCATTTGAGTGATGATACTAATTGATACTATGTTCATTTGAAGTTAACTTTAAACTGCCGGTTATTGTTGTAGATTTTCGTGTTTTATGTTCTGTTTTTGAAAAATGCCAAGTGATAATAAATATAAATATTTTTTAAAATTAAAATTCAAGCCAAAAATCCATTAGTAAATTATATTATATTTCAAACAATAATTTTCTTTATTACTTTAGTTAGTATGATTCTCCCAATACATTATAAATGATATTTTTTTAATGTTAATGCGAATCTGAGCGAATAAATTGGTAAAACTAAGTAAAAAACTCACTTGTCCATCCAGTTAACTCGAGTTACGTAACTCGAGTTCAACCCGAGTTACGAAGATTTTAACTCGGGTTAAATCGAGTTTTGTTTTTCCCGAGTTGGCCCATCACTACATCTCCTATAGCCCGACCAGGAACATAAAAACCCTCGCCATGTTGCGGAAAACTAATGGTACTAATTTCTTTTAATGGCAACAGTAACTGAAAACTTCATTGACATGTCACCTTGCATGTCAGTCTATTGCTGTCAAAGTGTAAACAAACTTTATTTTAAATGTGCGCATTTGATTTTGTGAATTAAATTGCTAAAATCTTTTTATAGTCGTGAAAGAAAAGTGGTTCACAATGTGTTAAAGTATTTGTCGAAGAGAAATACTTAGGGTTCGGACCAGAGAGCAGAAATAAATAAAATTTCTGCTCTCTGGTTCGGACAATAATTTCATTGAATAATGTTTCCGACAAAGGTTGTCAAACTGACTGACATGTTTATCGTATAGTACAGTCCACTATGAAAATTAGCTGTGGTTTGTTTCAACTACCTATTTTAAAGTTTTTTGTCACTTTCTTAGTGTTGAATTTTATGGAATTGGGAAAGAAGTACCGAGTTTGCAGCGTTCATGAGCAGACATTGCAGTTGAATATTCAAGTTCTGAATTTGATTATTGATGAATAATAAAATAAATCCTACTAGCTCGATTGATGGTTTCATTTAATTTATTTAAACCAGGTTACCTATAATAATATTTTTTCGTTAATTTGTGAAAATATCTAATTAGCCCGTAATCCTGAATCCTGATACATAAAGTTAGCCTATTAATTTAAAACAAGTACGACTGTACAGTCTAATTTTTTAGAAATCAGCAGAAATGTCATCAAATATGGCCAACTGACATAAAAATATTTTTAGTCTGTGAACTAGTGATGCGACAAAACCTCTCGTTAATCGCGAAGTGAAATGTTGTAGTACTTGCGTATCATCGCCGGGTGATCGTCAAAATACTAAAAATATGCAACAAAGTCGCAACATTGAATGTGAACTGATTATGAAATTTTCGAGAACAGGAAACAAACTGTATGCACAGATGTAATCAAAAAACACACTGGACAGTAAAACAATCAATGATATCCGTAAAGTTATTAAACTTCTGTTGCTTGCTGTTGCTTGCTGCGTGATTGGTGGATTTTGACATATCTGTCAATGTCATGTCAAAAATAACCAATCATGCAGCATTTGGACCTCGCGTCTACGTATTGCCATCTGGCGGATTTTTCAATCGCGAAAACCCTCATTGAAAGAAGTTTTTTATTTTCTTAAAAATAAACAATGGAACAATACGTAAGCATAATTGCATAAAAAAGTAAAATAATTTCGTTTAAATAAAACCGACTAAAAATTAAACTGACTCCGAAAAAGTAAACACTAAAAGTAGAAAAATAAATTTACGTTATCTCCAATATTGTCGAAGTTATCGCTGGAAAACTAAACAAAGTATCGTATATTTTTTATTTAAAATTAATCAGTAATCGGAATAAGTGAATACTTAAAATAATATCGATTAAATTTACAGATTATTGTCTATGACTCACAGGTTACGGCACTGATGTGTCAGAGACAAGTCATAGACAATATGGAGATAACACATGATTTTAAACGTCAAGTCAATTTGACAAGTCTCACAAATTCTCATCGTCCGCGTATTTTGCTAAAATAATTTGTTTCAAAGATTGATTTCAAACTTGTATAAACGTGAAAATAAAGTTGGTTTCATGGGCTTGTTAAATAATGTGTATGATATTATGAACACGTAAGTGATTATGGTGTAATTGTGTATGAAAGTGTTTGTTTACATCTCTGCTGGATTCTAAAAAATCAAGGTATACTCAGTGTTGCACTATCAAATGCAATTGACGCGCCTCTATGCCAGGGTTTTTATGTTCCTGGTCAGGCTATAAATAGATTTATTATACAGGGTGGAATTTTGTAATGCCACCTGGAGGGAAAGTACTCTTAATATTGTAGATAGACATTTTTTCTCAAAGAAAACATTCCTTTATTTTTGAAAAGAAATAGAAGTTTTGTCTTGGCGCCAATGGCGTTTACGCCAATGCCGGAAAATTATGGAAGTAAAGCGGTTAAAACTAAATAACATGCATGGGAATCAAACCTAGGACTTTCGCTACTAATAACATAAGTGTTTGTGTATTGTAATAATGAATAAAATATTTGCATGCATTCTTTGATGAAGCAGAACATGAGCACGTTTCAACATGTAACACCGATATTTAATTATGTATACCATGTTTTAAGCAAATAAATAAATTATCTTATCTTATCTTATCAATAGTTGGAAGTGTGTTTTAAGTCTTAAAAGAAAAACAATACCAAAGTTGTGAGATATTATTTTTATTATTCTATTATTTGGACACATAGAAACAGCAAAAACCACCGTATACCTACACTATTCGTCAAAAGTACGAAATATACAAATTAACCTCATTTATCATAGCATCATCTAGGTACTTCAAAATAAAGTATAATACATAAAGCATTATTTACTCATAGATACTTGAATCTATACTGCTTTTTTACTCTACTGTATTTTATATTACTTGTGCGTAAAGTCAAGTAAATAATATTGGTAATACTTTGATTTAATATTTTGTGTTTGCAACTCCAAGTGAAACAATATTTTGTTTCCAGGCAATAAAATGTGACTGTTTCTCGCGGTCCCATCAGCTTGCAACAACAAATTACTATCTAAAGTTATTGATTGGTTAAGAGCGCTTTCACATTTAGGCGATTTAGCAGCGCGACAAACACGCGACAGACGCGCTGCCGAAAATTTCATACTATGTGACAGCGGATGCATGCCTTCACATTATAACTGCCGCGCTTCTAACGCCCTAATGTGAAAGCGCTCTTAATCAGTGTCAACCCGCCATCGTAACCAGTCTGTATAAAAAATTTAACGTAAATAACAATAGAAAATAAAATACTTAGCTATAACAAATATGTACGTATAAAAGTAAGGTACTTTTCATTTTAATCCATAATCGAAGTCTGTACTTCGGGCAACATTGGCGTTTATCATAATTCATAACTCATGTAGAGACCTTAACCTATAATATTCTAAGCCTTTATTGCACAATTTAAAAAACACAAAATTAAACCAGTGTACAGTCAGCGTCAAATAGTTCGTAACACCCTAATACCGGTTGCAGACCAAGAGCTAAGCTAAGTTAGTTTCGTTTAGCTTTACCATAGTCGTGTGTAGACTGAAAACTATGCCAATTCAATGGGAAACTGCGTCAGCTATGCGAGCTAAACGAAACTAACTTAGCTTAGCTCTTGGTCTGCAACCGGCATAAGTGGTAAAAAAGTTCACACCACAGAACAAAGACGTGTTGTGAACTTTTTGGCTACTTTGGGTTTCATGGACTATTTGACGCTGATTTTAAATATTACGTACGTGGTGCATGAAAGTTTATTGATTTATCTTATCAAACAAATATGAACATAATTTTCAGTCAATAATCTATTATAATACCTAGGAACAGTCTGTATGGTCATAGAGCTATCACTTTCTGCGAGTCCCGTTGGACGTTGTCTATGGTTTATTAATTTACAGACTTTAAATAAAACAATAGAAGATGTAATACTTACAACTACGATTTGAACGTGAACCTTAATAAGTAATTAGAACTACATTAACAAGATATTAATAAGACATTTACTATTAGCATTACATAAAACTCTGAGACCTAAATTTGTTTCTGAATTGTATTTAAATTTGCATGTCTGAAAGGCCTAAAAGTGCGATTATAATATTGTTCATGTTTTCATCCTTTGTTACCACTTTTTAAGCAAATAAATTATTTCTATTTCTATTCTAGTTAATGGAAAAAATCTTACAGCACGAGAGCGATTTAACCTACAGGGTGTTAGGTAAATGGGTATATGAGCCGACACTAGCCCATGTTAACATAGGCATATAAATGGTATGGTGGTGAAGTCAGAAAATTGATATCTTCATTTTAATTATTTTAATTTTCATACAAATCGGATTTTATAAAATTTATTTTGTATGAAAATTAAAAAAAATAAAATGATGATATCAAATTTCTGACTTCACCATACCATTTATATGCCCATGTTAACATGGGCTAGTGTCGGCTCATATACCCATTTACCTAACACCCTGTATAACTCGACATACCGACTTCTGATTGAAGATCATATTGCTCAAGATTATACAAGCTCATAGGGTAGCATTTTGAGTTGTCGCTAATATTGATTCAATTCACTGTTCTTCCTCCACATCTTCTTCCACATGCTCGATCTTAACGCTCACAAAGTCAGTCGGCTCCAACTCTGCTTCTTCCTCGGTTTTCTGCGGCGTTTTCTCATCAACCTCGCTCTCACCTTCGCTGTCCTTGTCTTGGCTTCCCTCTTCACTCAAATCCTCGTCGTCATCGTCATCGTCGTCGTCGTCATCGCCGCCATCATTAGCCGGGGGATTCTCAGGGAGTTTTAAGCCTTTGGTGAACGTCACAAAGTCTCTGATGACGTTTTCGCTGGACTTCTTCTTTGGTGGTCCGAAGATTTTCGTCATCGCTTCTTCGTCGAGAGGTAAACAACATTCTCGAGGGTCTAACTTCTGGTAGAATTCTCGTGGGGCGCGGGAGGTATTCTTGGGCATATGCCGTTTGCGAATGTGACGAATCATTGTCCGCTTCACAGCATAGGTTTTGGGGCAGGATTTGCACTGTAGGAAGAAAATACAGGTCAATGAGTAATCACAAAATACAATGAGAATAAAATTCTTTATTAGTTTAGTATGTAGGCCATAGGGGGAGTTCGAAGTTAGGTTCGACTTCTCTCCAATGCAAAGCGGATGACAGGAGGTGAAATCCCTATGTTCTTCTGATGAATTTCGTTGTAGACCCAATGACAGTTTAAGCTTCCCGGATTAAACTTGACCTTCACTGGTTGTGTTTTTAATGGCAGTCAAGCTGTAGATCCTGGCTACACAGGAGTTGCAGCAGTAAGAACGAGAGGTGGGTATAGTCCCGTTATTATGTAGGCCTTTATAACTATATAACTTGCTCTAGCACTACTAAGGGAAAACAGCTGGTATAGTTCTTGCAACTTACGAAGGCGAGTGAACTTTACTTGCGTGTGTACGTGTACATGCATATAAAGATAGTGTAATTTCTATCAAAACTTTTAAAAAATGAACAGTAGCGAGCCACCACACATGTAAAGCTCACTCGCCTTCGTGAATTGCAACAACTAGGTATATGGAAAATAATCAAGTATCCCATCCCAACTAATATTATAAATGCGAAAGTAACTCTGTCTGTCTGTCTGTCTGTTACGCTTTCCCGCTTAAACCTCGCAACCGATTTTGATGAAATTTGGCATAGAGATAGTTTGAGTCCCGGGAAAGAACATAGGATAGTTTTTATCCCGGTTTTTGAAACAGGGACGCGCGCGATAAAGTTTTTCTGTGACAGACAAAATTCCACGCGGGCGAAGCCGCGGGCGGAAAGCTAGTAGTCTATATTTTGATATTGACCACAACGGGCACGTGTAGCGACGTGCGGGTAGTGGCTCACCTTGTACATGTTGGCCTGGCCGTGCGTGACGACGTGCAGCCGCAGCCCGGCGGGGCTGGTGAGCTCCTTGCGGCACAGCGGGCACGTGTAGCGACGTGCGGGTAGTGGCTCACCTTGTACATGTTGGCCTGGCCGTGCGTGACGACGTGCAGCCGCAGCCCGGCGGGGCTGGTGAGCTCCTTGCGGCACAGCGGGCACGTGTAGCGCACGTGCGTGTGTGACGTGCGAATATGGCGGAGCATGTAGCGCTCGTCTTGGTACTTGCGATCTGGGGAGAAATACACAATCCATGTACATTCGTCGTCGTTTCAGGCAAATGACGTCCACTGCTGGACAAAGGCCTCCCCCAAGGTTTTCCACAATGAAAGGTCCTGCGCTGCCCGCATTCAGGCTCTTTCCGCGACGTTTAACAGATCGTCGGTCCACCTAGTAGGAGGCCTGCCCACGCTACGTCTTCCAGCCCGTGGTCGCCACTCGAGAACTTTCCTGCCCCAACGGCCATCGTCTCTACGAGCTATGTGCCCCGCCCACTGCCACAACATGTACATTATCATTATCAAACAATAATGTCTGTCAAATAGGCCTATATTGTTTTTGCTCACTAGTTGAGTTGCCACAGGCATATTGCCACTGGTGACTCGCTAGTGGCATGACAATGGCGCCAACTAATGTTACAAATATGTTAACACTTAACGTAATGTTTTTATGCAATCATGACTCATCATCATCATTTCAGCCATAGGACGTCCACTGCTAAACATAGGCCTCCCCCAATGATTTCCATAATGACCGGTTGGTAGCGGCCTGCATCCAGCGCCTTCCTGCTACCTTTGTGAGGTCGTCGGAACACCTTGTGGCAATCATGAATAAAAAAATACAGAGTGGAATTTTGTAATGCCACCTGGAGGGAAAGTACTCTTAATACTGTAGATAGAAAATTTTACTCAAAGAAAACATTCCTTTATTTTTGAAAAGAAATAGAACTGCATTCAAAGATTTTCAAAAATTTGCTTGCCATACCCAGGAATCAAACCAACTAAAATCTGTTTAAAATCACCCTGTATTTTTATTGCATCAATCGTTAGGGTCAAGTATAAGGAAGGATGAAATCTAACAAACTTGATAAATCAAATGAAAGGAAAACCATGAAATCTTACATTATTTTAATTATTTACAGAAAATGGTATGGTATAAAATTTCGGAAATTTTTGAATGCAGTTCTATTTCTTTTCAAAAATAAAAGAATGTTTTCTTTGAGTAAAATTTTCTATCTACAGTATTAAGAGTACTTTCCCTCCAGGTGGCATTACAAAATTCCACCCTGTATAAACACTCACCACATAGTGGGCACTGTACCGGCACCTTGGTGTGGCGATCGTGGATCTTCATGTGCTCGCGAAGGGAGCACGCGCTCGTGAACAGCTTCGAGCATACTTGACACGTCTCCAGGTCTGGAAGTGATGGCAGTTGTTAGAGGAAATTGGACTTTATTCTAAGTGCTCAGTTGTTCAAAATTGAATCAAAATATTATGTAGGTTCTCAGTCAGTACCTGAGGTATGAGAGCGGAACGGGAGTGTTTTTGAGACGTCTAACGTCAGCAAGACTTCAAATGTGCTTCAGATTTGAATGCTCTGTCAAGTCACAATATGTCAATGTCACCCCTCCCGTATCCTCCTATACATCAGGCACTGTCTGAGTTAGGCGCTAGATCTATAACTAATCTATCAACAGACAGCTCAAACCACTGAAAGAATTTCGCTGTAAGTTGACATAGCAGACAGCATTATTATGACGTAGACATCCACTAAGAAAGGATTTTTAAAATCACCCCCAAAAGGATGAAACGGCGGTCCAAAATTTTACTCGAGTGAAGTCGCATTCTTATTGGAAACATTATAATATGAATAACTCAAAAATAAGTAAACTTATTATGCAGAATGATACTCACTCTCCCCAGTATGTTTTCTGACGTGATACGTGAGTTTAGACTTCTGAACAAACGTCTGCCCGCAGTATATGCAGGCGTACGACCTGTCCTTGGTGTGAGTCCTGTGAAGAAGTAAATAACTTCATTATCATATTACTAACTTTGGCTCTCAGAGATTCCTATCATGATCAAATCAGGAATAAGAAGATCCGTAGGAGAACCAACCGAAACTTTAGTGGCAGTTGGCGTGGCAAATAGCTGATAGAAGTGATGGCTGATGGGGCACAAAAGTTCCACGAACGTAGCGTAGGCAGGCCTCCCACTCAGTGGACCGAGGATCTAGTAAAGGTCGCGAAAAGCACCCTGGATGCGATAGACGGATCGATTGTTGTGGAAATCCTTGGGCCAATGGTCCAATCCAATGGGCGTCTTTTGGTTGAAACGCTGGTTAAGGTGTGAAAACGTATCAGACAGTGGAAGTTTTAAATTACTTTGTCCAACTATCTACCTACATAGTTAGTTTTGCAGGGCAATCGAATGCGGCACTTAGCTCCTTGGGGCCATTGTGCGCGATTTGTGGTATATCTTCCTACTCCAACCACCCCAGATCCCCCCAGAAAGCAAGCAGCCTGTCTAGGCGGCTATATTTTGAGTCCGTTGTTCTGCTACGCTTCTGCACTCCATGAGCACCTGCTGCGGTGTTTCTTCTGCCTCTTTTCTCCGCACCGTTCCGCCTTTTTGGAAACTGAGCAACTTGCCTCGCGTGCGAAGTACAGGCGCCTTTATCCGAGAACGTGCGAGGGCACTGCGGGCACGCGTAGGGCCGTTCGCCCGTGTGTCTCCGCTCGTGTCGCAGCATATTGGAGCGGCTTCCACCAAGGCGGAGCGAGAAGTGTTTTGAATAACCAATCAGATGCCATTATTTTCACATCTCCACTGCGCTCTACTTCGGTGGAAATGGATCGACGGGAGAAGCGTCAGGCGCACTTGTTTTTCTATAGAATTTGACAGCAGCGGCGGCGCGGCGCGTTGCGGAGTTTTGCGGAACGATGCGGTGTTTCTTAGACAAAAATAAACTTACAGCTGACAGCTACGCACAGCTCACACATCTCTCGTCTCATCTCCACTCCGCTTTGGTGAACGGTTTCCACTGAGAGCCTGATGCCTGTTTTCACCATCAATCCCTAATTTTTAAGTGATCCCTGTGGTAACACAACAGGAATTTTGTTTTCAAAGGGGTCACTTAAAATTAGGGATTGATGGTGAAACCGGGCCTGAGCTACTTGCCTCTAGACTTACAGCGACAGCTACGCACAGCTCACACATCTCCTCTCGCCTCATCTCCTTTCCTCTCGACTTTTCTCCGCTCCGCTTTGGTGGAAAGAGCCTAGCCTAAAGCCTGAGCCACTTGCCTCGCGTGCGAAGTGCAGGCGCCTTTATCCGAGAACGTGCGAGGGCACTGCGGGCACGCGTAGGGCCGTTCGCCTGTGTGCCTCCGCTCGTGTCGCAGCATATTCGAGCGTTGCACGAACCGCATCGGGCAGTAGGAGCATGCGTGCCGAGGCCCTTCGTGAATCTGGATGTGCTCGCGGTAGGAATCCTTTTTCTGTTGGAAAAAAAGTGTTTAACTACAAAGAGGATCTATAATATTCCACTGGATTAGATAACCTTATCCATAGGTGATCAAGGGACTACATATTAATAACGTCTGAAGTGAACACCAATAGTAGTTTGTCTTTCACCATGCCAAATTAAACTGGTAAAAAAATTGGGATGGTTTTCATAAAAAAAGTCGTCGACAATTATTTAGAGCAGACAATTTATTAAGGTGTTTGCGCTATATTCAATTTTTTGTTTGATTCAGTTTTAATTTGGGATATGGAACCATAGACAATAAACTAAACTAAAGGTCGATACAAGGTTCCATATTATTTTGGTTAAAACTAGACCTTAAAACAAGCCGATAAGGTTCTAAATAGCTCACCATAAACACCTTCCCGCAGAACGAGCATGTATAAGTGGGCTTATTTGGCGCGTGGACTTGTTTGTGCATGTACAGAGGTGACTTGTACTGGAAGGATTTGCCGCACTCCAAATTAAACCTTAATATAAGCTAATAAGGTCGAAAATAGCTCACCATAAACACCTTCCCGCAGAACGAGCACGTATAAGTGGGCTTATTCGGTGCGTGGACTTGCTTGTGCATGTACAGAGATGATTTGTACTGGAAGGACTTGCCGCACTCTGAACATTCGTAAGGGTGCTTGCCAGGGTGCCGAATGAGGTAGTGCAGCTTGCTGAAAGGCATAAGATACGTATTAGAAAGAAAATAGCGCTCAAATTCAATTTAATGTCAGTCAGATTTTAGGCCTCCCACTAGGTGGACCGATGATCTGGCGAAGGTCGTAGGAAGAAACCTGGCGGGCAACGCAGGACCGGTCATTATGGAAATCCTTGGGGGAGGCCTTTGTCCAGCAGTGGGCGTCCTTTGACTGAAAATTTGGTGGTAAAAATTCAAACTAAAAATAGTATCATCATCTTCAACAGTGCGGTTTTGGCGGTGTTATCTCTAGGCAGTGTCGTCAAAAAGGCGCCATTCATTCCATCCTATTAATGTATGGAAATGCACCTGGGATGCATTACATCGGGGTGCATGCTGTTAGACCCTCGCTCTTATGCCGCGGTTTTTTTTAAAAAGATTTTTGCAATTTGTATTGCCCAAATTACTAATAGTCCCGTCGCATTAGCCCCTCGTGTTAAGCTAAATAAGCTTGTGTGTGTGTCTCACCACAATAGTCGAGCGGCGGTTGGATTCGAACCCACGTTCCTCGGATCTCGAGTCGGCCACTCCGACCCCTACACCGTTCGGCTATCGTGCGTGGCTATAAATACGAAGCGGGAATACGAGCCACATAGCTTGCGTCACCGCTCGTCAACCGTGTGTAGCACGTCGCGGCACAGCTTGCACTTGTAGTTGCCTGCGCCATGTGCGTTGTTGGACCCTCGCTCGTATGCCGCGGGATACGAGCCACAATAGCTTGTGCCGCCTCACCGCTATTGGCGTATTAGAGATTTTTTTCAGGGGGGGCCTAGCCTTCCATGTTAGCTGTTGAACTCTCGCTCTTATGGCTGCGGGAATACGAGCTACAATATCTCGTGTCGCCTCATCTCCATTGGCGTATCTAGGATTTTATGTTAGCTGTTGGACCCTCGGTCTTATGCCGCGGGAATACGAGCCACAATAGCTTGCCTCACCGCTCGTTCACCGTGTGCAGCACGTCGCGGCACAGCTTGCCTTGTAGTTGCCTGCGCCATGTGCGTTGTTGGACCCTCGCTCTTATGCCGCGGGAATACGAGTACAGAATAATAATAAGTACTACCAGGCCTGTTCATCTCCGCGAGTTTACATCGAAAACAAAACACGCACGATGGCCCACCTACAGGATACTATTCGACAAGGCCTCACATACGAGCGAACATTGACTCACGCACGCGTATTCTTGAGTATGATGGAAGAAAATAAAGAAAATTGTGTGCTAAATGAATAATATAAATTACTAAATAAATACTTATTATTATTCTGTGGTACTACGTACAGAAGTTTTACTTCGCGAAGGTATTTAAAAAAATGTATGCTCAATGTCATTAACAATATGGTGTAATTTAGCCTGTCTCCAGAGTCAAGCACCATTTTGTTGACATACGTCAGTGATCGGCACTGCGCCGAAGCTATAGGGCTGACTTCGGTAAAATGATGTGACGTGAGGTGCCAAACTGCGGAAAATGGCGGAGGAAATACATGATTTAACATGAATTATCATTAATAATATTAACTACTTATTTACCTCCAGATGTTTAACTTTAAAAAAGTACATTCTGTGTTTTATTATTATTTAGGCAGTTAAATACTGCACAGTATTTAGACCATTTTCTTTATTTTCTTCCATCATACACAAGAATATGCGTGCGTGAGTCAATGTTCGCTCGTATGTGAGGCCTTGTCGAATAGTATCCTGTAGGTGGGCCATCGTGCGTGTTTTGTTTTCGATGTAAACTCGCGGAGATGAACAAGCCTGATACGAGCCACAATAGCTTGCCTCACCGCTCGTCCACCGTGTGTAGCACGTCGCGGCACAGCTTGCACTTGTAGTTGCGCGCGCCGTGCGCCTGAGCCATGTGCGTTGCACACGCGCGCGAGCTGTTGAACTCTCGTGTGCAGATCGTGCATACTTCTGGCCGTGGTGGCTTCTTCTCCTCTGTAGCGTGGACCGTCTATGAAAATAAAATAAATAAATAGTGTATCTCATCATCATCATTTCAGCCATAGGACGTCCACTGCTGAACATAGGCCTCCCCCAATACTTTCCACGTTGATCGATTGGTAGCAGCCTGCGTCCAGCGCTTCCCTGCTACCTTTACGATGTCGTCGGTCCACCTTGTAGGTAGGTGGACGTCCCACGTTGCGCTTCGGCGCAGGTATTGAGCTATAATGTATCTATGGCCTTCTAACCTTCAGTATCTAAAATAGCGCGGCTTTAAACGAATTGAACAAAACATAACCCTTTAATGCGGTACGGAAGCATTCTAAGAGCGGGAAATTGTTTTGTTACGGGATGTATAGAAAGGCAGCGTGGCAGCGCGATCAATTGCTTCCAGAAAGTATGTTAGCGGTTTGGGTACAGTACTTAAATAGATAAAAAGCCTATTTGTAGGAAATTATTTCTGCCCACTAAAAAAACTTGATAGCACCAACCTTGATATGCACTTTGAATGATTTCCTTTGACTCAGTGGCTTGAACACACAAGCTCCCAGGGAACAGAAGATTTTCCTAGCATCAGAATGTTGTTTCTCAAAGTGTGCTCTCATGTCTTCAACTGTGTTCAACACTAGACAACACACACAACATTTAACAAGGAAAAGCAGCTCTTCTTGCACCGACTGATGCTTTTCCACATAATGGTGGATGAACCAAATCTAAAAAAAATACAAAATCATTTTTAAATTCTTAGAATGAGATATTCATAGTAGTTTTTAAGACCTAATCTTACCTTATCACTAAATATCTCTGAACAATTTTCGCACTTATAAAAGTCTTCCTTGTACTTAACAAAATGCACTCTTATTTGATGAGTCTCTCTATCAGGTTCATTCCAAAACAATGTAGGACAGTACTTGCACTTAAAACCCAAGTGTGGACTAAAGCAATTGTCAAACTCCATAACATCCCAATGGCTGTTCAAATGCTTCCTTGTATTCTCCCGATTGTCAAACTCCTTGTCACAAAATTGACATAGCCAGAGATCATCAAACTCTCCCATTTCTTCAGTCACATGAGCTTCAAGCTCACCTTGACTGTCAAATGTGGTTGCACACACTCTACACGAATAAATAGGTACAGATCTAACAGAATGCATCTTTAACATGTGTGTGCTAAATGTATGTATTGATGTAACACAGGTTTTGCATACACCACATTCTATGTCCAATTCAACATCGTCATTGGCAGTTTTGTAGTCTATACCAGAATCCTCAGGAACTGTGTTTGAATTAATTTGGCTTAACGTTTGATTGACATACTCAAAATAACATTTATTCAACACAATCAATTCCATTAAGGTAACGTCAAAATCTTCAACGCCTTTATAAGTTTCTACAATACTGTTTTTTGCTTCTTTATTTTCATTATCACTTAGGGGCTCCTGTTTTACCCCTGAATCCTGTTCATTTTGCACATCAGCAATATCTGGCTTTTTTTCCAATTCCAGGTAGCCTGTTTTGATATTGAACTGGTCTGTAACAAAGTCTGTACTTACATTAGCACCGTCTACATGAAAAGGTGGATCATTACCAGATATTATGTTTGTGATGCATTTGAGAGTGAAGTGGTGATAGCCCATGTAGTGGTTGAAGAAGTTATTACAAAAAACATCTCCTTTATTGCACAATAAGCATAGGAAATTTTGGCAACCTAGATATTCAACTTCCCAAATGACTTCTGCGTTTTTACTCTCTGTGTTAGTTACATTATGTTTTTCTATTAAGTGCACGTCATATTGATCATCGTCTGTGGTTCTGAAGTGGCAGAGGCGGCAATGGACCAGGTTGTGAGCCTCACTGAAGTGTTTCCGCCATTCCACCTGTGTTGGGAAGCTGTCTAGACACTGTGAGCATGGCCACGGACTGTGAAACTTCTGATGAGTTTGCCACACCGCTCTTTCAGTCACAAAATAGCTAAAACAAAACCATAAAATGATAAATATTGGTGTATTTTTGAAACAGAAAAGTGAATTAAGTTGGGAAGAAGAATGTTAGATTAAACAGCATTCCATTATTTGTTATTGACTAAGTAATAAGAAGACTCTCACCGACAAATTCCACAAAAATCTTTTTTGTGATTCAGAATATAGTGGAGTATTATTTTAGACCGGTTAATGAACCACTCCGAGCAAAGCAGACAGCTGTAAGGTCCAGTAGGATTGAGGTCTTTTATGTACATCCATACATCTGCAGGCCTCTCAACTATCTTCGGCGGTCGTGTGGTTTTTATTGGTTGATGTAATTTTATGGTAATAGAAACGGTATCATTACGTGAGTACTTCTTTTTCTTCTTTTTCGATGGCCGAATTACCTCAATAGTTGTTTCAGTTTCGTAGGTTTCAAATTTCTCAGGATTTAATCTTTTAGCAGCTGCTAACACCGACAATGGTTCGTCATCTGATTCGTCCGAAGTCATTTTAGATCTCAGTGATTTACAACAGTATTAGAATTTACTGAAATCAAGAAAATTCAGAGATTTTCATGTTTCCCTATTTTTCCCAATTTTTCCAAAGCAAGCAACAACTTTTTTTTTTCTCTACGAGTTGTCACTGCTGCAGTGTTGCCAGTCGGGTCTAGTCCAAAACCTTTTGTACCCTTTGCACCACCGGCCTGCACCACTGGTGGTGCAAAGGGTATTTTTAAATCCCTCTTGCACCACCAACAAATAGTGCTGTGCTACCATCGACTGTAAAACTAGTAGTAGACTGTAAAATACTTAATAATTAAATTGTTATAAATAAATCAAAACCTACTTAAAAGTTTTAATTTGTGTGTGTGTAAGTGCCTATAAACATTTCACTTCAGACCCACGATACCCCGGGCCTACATCCTACATACAACGAATAAAGTACCAGGGCAACATAACCATAAAGGAGCTATTACATGTTTATTTCTCGGATCAACCAAGAAGAATTTGATATAGCTCCTTTATGATTATGTTGCCCTGGTACTTTAGGAATTATTCGTTGTATGTAGGTATGAATGGTTGTTATTAATTTTTATGTTATGTTGTCAAATCTGTCCAGTAGTTTCGGAGCCTATTCAGTACAAACAAACAATCAAATCTTTCCTCTTTATAATATTAATATTATATGATTATAGATAATCGTTTTACAGTTAATGGTAGGGCGGCACTATTGGTGGTGGGGGGGGGGGGGGGGGGTGCGGAGCGATGATATGATTGTGTAAGGTTGTTCATGGATTGAAAATGAATACAATTGATCATCTAAATACGAAAAGTGACCAGTCGTTAAAAAACGTTTCATGGATTTGCGTTTTATTATCGAAAAACATTCGCTAAAACTCATTTTTCTTAACAAATAATAAATCAAATTCAAGTTTAAATGCAGTTTATGACTTAAATTGTCACTATCAATATTTTTTACTGAATAACCTGTAAAGTTAATTCTACAATTTCTGAAAAATCACCTAAAAGTAACCTTTTCATTAGTGTAACCTAAAAGTAACCACAGCAGTTCAAAAGTAACCAAAAAGGTTACAAAAGTAACCTTCTGGCAACACTGCACTGCTGTCAATCTCGGCCAGTGAGGGCCAAAGTATAGTTTTGTTGTGTCCCAAAATCATTGATCTATCTTGGAGCTCACCGTCCCATTGAAAATGTTTTTGGTGGACCGAACATAACACTCCAAAGACAAACATTTTGACGTTATGTAGTTTTAAATGTCTTTAATATAGCGAAGGCATTTTAATATTCGTGTTTTACATTATTTATTTTGCGTAAATTATCCATGTAAAAATATTTTGAAGTAATCAAATTGAAGAAAATATATTGCGGAATAATTATTTTCCAAATCGAACTAGTTTATCAATTATAAACTACAATTATTTTATTTTGATTTTTTACATTTATTTATGTCCTTGTAATGAAACGTACAATAAAAATGTAGAATCGTGGCAGCCATTTTATAGAATGTTTTTGTCTATGGTGGCCAAAGAAAGGCGAAGCTAAACAAAAGGGTAGCATGTAGATAGCATTTACTAAAATAATAGTAAAATATGCGTAAATACTGAGTTAACAAAAATATTTTTATGATAGAAATTAGTGAGGTCATAAATTATAAGTTGTGTGTATCATACAAGTTCGTATTATGAAGCACAATGCACCGTGTAATGGAGGCCATTAGGAGTAATAATTATGTATATTGGCATACTTACTGTTCTACGGACAATCAAACACACGCGTGAAGAGAAGGTATAATGCATTTACCCAATGGTATATCTGTGCAATATGTAGACTTTGTGACATGTGAATAGTTTTGGTGCAGAGTGCCAGTGCAAATAGACGGTCACGTACGAATCATGGCCCAAAACCAAGGGGAGGTTCAAGTGGGAACACCGAACCAACCCGTGAAGGACAAGGATATTTATGCGTGCCTGCCTGATATGCGCTTGAATGGTCCGCTAGGACCCGATGAACCGTGTCCGGGTGGCGAGGAGCTTCGCTGGCTGCCCGCTCAAGCAACAGACAGGGACCTGGTTATGTACTTGAGGGCCGCTCGGTCGATGGCAGCTTTCGCTGGCATGTGCGACGGCGGCTCCCCTGACGACGGCTGTATGGCGGCCAGTCGCGACGACACCACTATCAATGCGCTAGACGTTCTCCATGACTCTGGATACGACCCTGGACGTGCCCTGCAAGCTTTAGTGAAGTGCCCTGTCCCTAAAGGAATTGAGAAAAAGTGGTCCGAGGAAGAAACTAAACGGTTTGTGAAAGGTATTCGCCAATTTGGCAAAAACTTTTTCAAAATAAGAAAAGACTTGTTGCCCCATAAAGACACAGCTGAGTTAGTTGAGTTTTATTATTTGTGGAAAAAGACTCCCGGTGCTAGTAGTAACAGACCACATAGGAGAAGAAGACAAGCATCATTGCGTCGTGTTCGTAACACTAGGAATTCTAGAGCAGGAACTCCCAAGGAACAAACTCCAGAGGCTACTCCAGCTGTCCCAGACACAAACGGTTCTAGACCTTCTCCCAATCCTAAAGAAGCGGGAGAAATGAGTTCAGTTACAGAGGACGAAAATTCAGAGGAAGATAGTGATTCACGGGACGCAGGAGACTTGGCTAAAGTTGACAATGGCAGACAAGATAATCCTGAGGACTCACCTAGCAGAATGCGCACCAGAAACAAATCAAAAGAACAAACAACACCAAATGGAAAGAAAGGGCAAGATGAAAGTGATAATGACTCGAAATCCAAGGCTAAACCTATTAAACCTACTGTTCAAAGTACAAATACAAATAATAATGTTACAGAGAAAGTACTTTCCTCACCAGTAAGCAAAGATGCCAAGAAGAAAGTAACCACCAATGGCAAAGTTGATGTCTCAAAGGTAAAGAAACGTCTTCCAGATGATACAAAACCTGAAATCTTAGATGGTGATGTTCAAATGAAAAAGAAAAAGTCTGAGAATCCCCCTGAGAGCCCATCAGAAAGCCTTACAAATGATAGTTTTCCTGCAATGGATGAAACTGCGGAGCCTGAACCAGAAGCCTGTGATTTCAGTTTTACTAAACCTGAAAAGGAAAATATTGAACAAAACAAAGAACCAGAACCTGAGAATAATGTTAAACCACCTGAGCCACAAATCAAAGTGGAAATAAATGACCCTCCACCAGTTATAAAAACTGAAAAGGATCCCTTACCGCCTGTGTTCAAGCCCACTAATGAAAAAGATGAAAGAAGTGTTCTTGACCTTAAAACTGATAATAATGGCCCTAAGACTGCTGAAATTATTGAACCAAGACCTCTTGCAATGCCTAGTGCAATATTCCCTAAAACAGAACTTATTATTCCAAAAGTGACTCCAATGACAACTGAACCAATGGAAAAGATAAAGATCAAAGAAGAAATAGATACTGAAGAGCAATCACTAAACTTACATAAGGAAGAGTTCCAGAAAGATCCGCTGTCACACAACTTCCCTGGACACCCAATTAACCAATCCAATAAACCACTCAATTTAGAAAATACAAACTTCTTTATCAAAGATAACCATTTGTACAACCCTAAACTGAACCACAATATCAAAATTGAAGGAGGAATTACTCCAAATATTTTCAATCCAGTTAACATTACCAAGGACAATTCAATTATCAGGAGTGCAAAGGATTTTGCAAGTGGAATGCCAGCATTTTCTTATCCTGCAAGTATGAATTTTGCCAGTGATGCCAATAAGCACAATCCTCATATGAACCCCCTGAAAACTGTTATCAAGCTTGAACCAAGAGATGAAGCTTCTGAAATGAAAAGTCAAAACACACCAGAAATATTTACTGCAACAATATCAACTGCTAGCAAAGTGGATTCGCCCAACGCGCCTCGTTTGGACTCATTACAAAGAGTTAGTCCATCACCAACTAACACAAGAGGCTCATCACCACCATCTATGGAACATCCAACAACTACAAATACTGAACCTATCTCTCCTGCAAATTCACAAGAAAACAAAGAATCTGATGTGGATGACAAACAACCTACTGACCTCAAGACTCAGCCTAAACTGGAAAACCAAAATACATCATTGAGACCACCAATATTCCCACCACCAGTTCGTCCTGAAAATCTTGGTGTGAGATCTACAGAAGCATCCAGCACGCCTGTGTCGCAAAGCATGCCTCCTCCTCCATTAAGCCAGCCTTCCATGGCAGGATTACTTCCTCCTGGCCCTCTCATTTCAGTGGGAAGTGGTGCAAATGTTGGTCCTTATGGTTTTATGCCTACTCCTCTGTATGGACATCCAGGTCACCCTGGCCTAGAAAAACCCAGCTCTTTACCACCACTTATCCAACAAGTGCCTCCTTCACATGGGCATCCTGGAAGTCTTATTCCACCACCATCAAGTCAAAATGACCCATCAATGCCACAAGATTTGAAAATCAAGCAAGAAGTTCCTGACAATATGCCTGCAAATCTCTCTACACAAAATGTGTCAGATCCCTTGCAGTCATTGAAGGAGGTTAAAGTGCCAGGATATCCAATAGGAAGTGCTATAGCACAACATCTGAGTACCGAAAGAGATAGAGAGTCGATATCGAGTGTAGAAAATAATAGCAGACCACCAAGTCAACCCACAAATGAGAGTTCAAATATGCCAAGTGCATTCCTGGGACCAAGAATTGATAGCATTAAGAAAGAGCCAGATTTTCTCCATCAACCGCATTTACCACCTACCAGCCAAGGTAATTCTGATACAGGCAATGCGCTTCCGCCAGTAAAGAGTCCACACACGCCTACACCTATTAAAAGTCAACCAAGTCACAATGGAACACCGGGACATCCTCATCCTTCGGCTACGACGTCACCTTTTTCAAGACACCTGGCGAGTCCATCACAGCCGCGACAAATATCAGCATCGCCTGTTCAACCAAATACACCGGTATCTCATTCGGCTTTGAATTTGATGAATCCAACGCCCTTATCGATACCATCGACAATACCTGGACCAGTCATGCACTCCGGTCAGCAACCTGGCCCTCCGCATCCTTTCGCATCTCATCTACATCACCC